CAACACAAACAAAATCAAAATGATCAAGTTGTGACCACACAGTATAGTAAAATTATCAAATAGTAATCTCAGCAAGTCGAAAATTTAATGCTTGTCCACCCTGTATAGGGAATATTAAAATAGTGCAATAATATCTATAAAAGTAATACTATTACAAGGCGTAATATAATGAAACCTAAAATCTAAATGACATTGTAACTACTGCATCGACATAAATGTTCTTAATAATCTAACCACTAAATATAGCCTGTACGATATTATTTAAAATGTACGTTACTGTTTAAGACTGAAAATATTTTAGATGTGAATCACACAGCCCCACTTCTAATGACTCTTGACCCTATAACTACGATTTGCCCGGAATTTGTAATTTGCCATTGCAAAACTTCTGGCAATACCAAGAACTGCAGTTGTAGGAAGGGAAATGTAAAATGCATAAAGGCTGTGTACTCCATGTAAAAGTGTCTGCCTAAATTCGGCCTGAATATATTTTTTTTGTAATTAACAATAAAGACTAGCTTAAAAGTTTTTTTGTTAACATATTTTTGATTTCCTCATGTTTAAAAACATATTTTTGTAGGCATGTCGGTTAAAATTCATGTTTTTTTTTAATTTCAACATAAAAAGTTTTCCAAATAAATTTTACTGTACATTTTTGCATTAGCCATGTTCGAAAATGTGTATTTAGACACCTCAGTCACTTTTCTATGTCAAATTCGATTTCTAAAAATATCGAATTTCAAAAAAATCCGCCATCTTAGCCGCCATCTTGAATATCTCACGTCTGGTTCAGATTTCACTCTGGCAACAGGCAGAATCGGTTTCAGCAGTGTCGAATTAGGGGGAAAAGGGTAGTTTCCAAAAAGTAATTGAAATGCTTCTCAAACTTAAAATTTCCGAAAAAGGGACTAGACTAAAATTTACAGCGACCAAAACCAAACCAAACTCTTTTACAATACGGCAATTAATTTAGATAAGTCTTTCTTTTATCGACATAATATTTAATTTAATTTAACCAGCGCAATTGCAATCGTTAAGTAAAAAAAAATATCAATCGGTTAAAAAAAAAAGAATAATCAATCGGTTAAAAAAAATACGAACTGCATTACAGTACAATTGGAACGCATAGCAGAAAATCATTATATTTAAAGTTTGAGTGACAAGTGATTACTTCAAAATATTATGAAAAAAAAGCTGTATAAATCTTAAAAAATCTAATCGAGTTATTTTATTTCAAAAAAAATTACGGTACGTGTTAATACAAAACAAACAAGGGTGTATTTTAAACAAAACACCACATCTACGTATCAAAAAAAATATGAAAAAGATTTCTTACTTTCAAGCTCAAACAACTTACTACAACCCATTATGCAGCAAAGATACTAATGTTGAATCATTGGTAGCACTTTAGTGGGAATTTCACAAATAAAATCAAATATCTGATCAAAAACTGAAAATTCAAATCAGATAGTAAGATTTATAAATACCTATATATACAAATAATCATACCTACGTCTATTTATGTATTACAATGTAATCAATATTTTAATATCCTTAATATCCTTAATAACCCAAGTAAATAATAAAAAATGCACTTTTTATATCAAGAACATCTGTCTAAAAAAGACAGTGATTTCGAGTGACAATTTGGTTATGTAAAATTTAGAGTGATAATTTTGATTATGTAAAAGAAATACATATTCCTTAGTTTACGATGACATCAAAAAAGTTTCAAAGATTGCTGAGTATTTTGGAAAAAACTGATTTTTTGAAAATCAATTTTATTTTTTCCTGTCGATACTTTTTAAAAAATCAAAAAACTAATTGCACATTTTCATAGCCACCTTATTAGGGCTATCTGATGGTATTTATAGATTTTCAAATTAGCTTATAAATTTTGAGATACAGAGGCGAACTTAATTTTTCAAAATACGGACCTGCATTTTTTATTTCAGATTTTGAAAGAACTCGGTTTCCTGAGTACAATGGTATGTGACACTTAATATTTTTTTGTTTAAACATTTGAACGTTACAATATTGGTAAGCTTTCAAACTTAACAATGACGTGGTATAAAACATTGAATAGGGAAAATCAAATGCAATAAAATAATATAAAATAATTAATATAAATATAATATAAACAATCAAATAATTTTCCCGGAAGATGGATTGGAAATGGTAGAGCAGTATAATGTCCAGCGAAGTTCCTGGACCTATCGCCAAGGGGCTACATTATTTGACGTAATTTGTAAAAGTAAGGTCAATTCACCTCAACATTTACAATAAAGAGTACAAAACGCAATCGAAAGTATAAGAAGAAAGTTCAAAGAACTATAAATAAAATTGAGCGAAAAATAAATTTGTGCAATAGGGAGAGTGGTAACCCTTTCGAACATGTAGAACATTAGAAACTAGCTTGTAGAAGTTTATTTATAATAACTACGATTAATATTATGCATATTTTTACATCGCACACTGAGATTTCAAATTCACAATAAAACAAGTTAAAAATAATATCTTTAAATTTCTGACGTGGATATTATTTATTTGAATCTTCCAATTGGCTCGATTTTCCTTATTCAATATTAATTAGCGCTGATCAATATTGTTGCGATGAATATAATCAGATTAAATAATTTAAGAAGCCAGAGTCGGACTTAAAATTATATTAAATAATAATTAAATAGTATTGTTGCTGTTAAGGTATCCAAAACTAGAAAAAGTATAAAGTGTGGCATATCGTTATATTCAGGAGACCGGGTTCTTTCAAAATCTGTATAAAAAATGCAGGTCCGTATTTAAAAAAATTAAGTTGGTCTCTGTATCTCACAAATTATCAGCTAATTTGAAAATCTAAAAATACTATCAGATAGCCCTAATAAAGTGGCTATGAGAATGTGTAATTAGTTTTTTGATTTTCTAAAAAGTAACGACAGGAAAAAATAAAATTGATTTTCAAAAAAATCAGTTTTTTCCAAAAAACTGAGCAATTCTTGAGATTTTTAAAAAAAATTTGATGGCATCTTGGTGAACATCCCAATACGCAACTTTGCCCCAATTTAACCATGTTCGTATCTATTACGGTTACCGAGATACCAATGCTCGTACCTCGAATTTGTAGCACCCTGTTATATTCTTCAATTTATATAATTACATAATAGCTGTTAGTAAGAAATTTCACTTCAAATATGCACACATAGTGCACACACAATTTTTTTAATTAGAGGGTTCTTTAAAATTGTGCTTGATTTTTTAGGGGTCCGCGAACTGAAAAAGGTTCTGTGGTCTATTCTGTCCCGTTGGGTGTTCCAAAATTCATCACGTAAAAATAAGATTTTTCATATCAACATACATCCGATTCTGCTTTGTGTCGTATCGACAGGGAGTTAAAGTATTAATGTTTTTTCGATTTATTATATCTTTTTTATTAAAATGATTTAATAGGTAAACTCGGTTTTTCACGATCCTGCTGAATTGGCGATGTGGATTCTTGGGATTAGAGTGATGATGATGCTGGTTCTCACGGACATAGTCATACTAAGGGCTGGCAAAGGTTAGTCTTGGGTCGAGATTACCGTATGTAAGAAGAGTACAATGCGTTTATAATGTACTGAACAAAGAGAGGACAGTAAACACGTTGCCAAACGTATGAAATAAACTGAGAAACTGTGCACATCGCTAAGAGACGTGGAAGGGGATATAGCCGATTTGTCACAGTTGACCGGTCGACCCAATCAATACCTCTGTCAGTACTTAAAGTTGGAAAGGTGTACGTCATGCGTTCAGCTTCACGATTTTATTACGTCTCGTGATACTCAATTTGTTTATTTATTATCGAGTCCTTGTAATTTTCCCTATAGCTTGAATTTTTTTAAGTGCAAGCTAGAAACACTTGCATTTTTGGTAAAAATAAGTGGAATTGAGTGGGTGTTCGATAGTGGTCGCGCTATTAAAACTCAAATTCGATTCAAAAATCGATATCGCGAAATCTATTAGCAATAATAGATTGTAGTTTTTTCAAGAACTTTGTTAATATTTTTGCTGTATTTTCTTTCTAGACAGTATGTGAAAATCTTTATCAATAAAAAAAATTACACGGTTGCTGAAAATTGCTATGCTCTAAAAGTAAATGGATGGATCGTTTACAATTTTTGAATGGAAAAAACAACCTTATCGAATTTTTCTTATGTAAACATATTGTAAAAAATCCGATCTTGAAAATAAAAAAAAGTTTCAATATTTAGATATTGAAACTTTTGAGTGGTTCTTTAGTTATGGCCTGTTATGTGTTAAAAAGTTAAGTTTTTAAATTATCGCGATTACTGACGTTTTCTCGTTATAAAAAAAATGACACCCTAACGATATCCTTATAATTCCATTTCAGATGCTCAGAAACATGCCTAATGATTTTATCTAGTTATCTCTTATACTTAGGGAAAGGCGTACCGGCAACGCCGCAATAGCACACTGTTGCATTTCTCTCACTCCGACTTAATAAAATCCCTATGCGATTTACTTCCACACAAGTAAATGCCGACCCAAAAATAACAGTTGCCAGCACGGTATAACTTATTTGGCGTTTTTTACAAGAGATAAAATATGTAGTAAATACTAGAGGCACTATTTTTCGAAAAAAAATGTCGTCGGTGGAGTTGGAAAATATTTATACTAAAGTTTACGTAAGAGTGGGGGTAGTTTTCACCCTTACCGTACTTTTTCTTTTTTTTTGTGAAAGTCAAATGGTAAAGCACTTAGCAAAACAGTATTAAATAAAAAATGTATTTATTTTTTTAAAGTTTGATGCCCTCTAGAGGCCAAATGAAGCACTTTTGTATAGATGTAAATTGGGACCAGTGAACTTATTTTGATTTCAAAAATATGTAGTATTTCTATGTTCACGGAATATTGGGACGTCCTTATTACATATTTTATGCTGTGGCGGTTTCCTTTGTTGAAAACTAAAATTAGATAATTAGGAAAATAATACATTTTGCTTTTTTTGTTTGTTATTAGATATGCTGATTCTGCGACACAGGAAGATCTGTTAAAATATGGTGCATCATTAGGCAGAACTAATCATATGGGGAAGATGCTAATTGAATATATAAAGCCTAGTATTTTAGAAAAGCATTTAAATAATTGTGTTCAAAACAAATTGTGTGATACAAATGTGGTGCTTCAAATTGATTATCGATTTCTCGCTCCACCAACGAAAATCACAACAAATGAAACAGAACAACATACAGATGATGTTGAGCCCGGAACGACCACAACAGATGTACAGAGTATTATATAAAATCATAGTATATGGTTAAGTCTAAAGTTTCTAACCTTATACTATTGAATTACGAATTGAATAAACAAAAGAAACTAATTTTTTCAAATTTTAGGTTATATATTATATGAGTACTTCCACCAGATTGAAACACTTGATAAGACATCCAGTGATAGCTACCTTTTTACTTCGGAAGTGGGAAAACTGGAACAACATATTTATAATAAACATAATCGTATATGTATGTTTCCTTGTACCTATAATTATTTTTGTTATTTTAAATATAACTCCGATTATTTTAATTATTAGTCTAGTACTATTGCTCCTTAGAGAAGGATGTGAATATATAGGAACTAAAACGTCTTATTTAGAGCGGTATGATAATTTGCTTGAACTGTTAATTTCAATTATGTTGATCCTTATGGTATTTCTTCAACTTATTTATGAGGGTGAAATACAGCTTTCCTCTATACTAATTCTTTTAGCAGCTTTCGAATTCATGATAGTTTTAAGTATAGCACCAAACTGTTCTACGAATATGGCGATATTTAGTACAGTTTTAGTCAATTACTTTATATTTTTGTTATGGTATTCGGTTCTATTAATCGCTTTTACATATAGCTTTTATTCTTTATTTGAGTGTCAAAATACATCGTTTGTCAATCTCACCGAATCATTTTTTAAAATAATAATTATGATGACTGGAGAGCTAGATGCTGGAAATATAAAATTCGACATGCATCCACTAATAGGTAAAACCATTTTTGCGTTATTTATTTTCATGATACCCATTGTTCTTTTAAACCTGCTCAATGGTTTAGCGATTAACGATATACAAATTATTAAACAAAATGCAGAATTAACTGGTTATGCAACCTTGGCATATAACATACAAATTGCGGAAACTTTGATTTACAAATATAAAATTAATTGCATTAAAAAATTATTTTTCAAGGAAGTAAAACCTATCTTTGACAATACTTACCAATTAACTGTAAACGAAAATAAGGGTTCAAATGATAATCAATCTAAACATTCCTGGTGGGTATTTTGGAAAAACCCAGTTGGAATAGAAATCATGGAACTAGTTCAGACCCAGAATGAAAAGCAGGGGTTGGATATTGATATCATCGATATTAGAAAAACACTGTCTGAGATTTTGAGTGTTTTAAAACCCCCATTTCAAAACTCTTGTAATTTGGGTGAAAGGCCAACTCTGCAGGCTGGGTCGCAAGGCCCGGTCCACGAACCGGATCCGCAGGCCGGACCTTCTGGTGTATGTGGGGCTTATAATATATAGACATGTTTCAAAATAAAGAACTACGAAAATAGAGAAAACAATAGTATTACATGCGTAGAAATTTAATGTAACATATTGTATACAAAAATAATTAGAAATCCTTATATGTCTATTATATCACTCTTTCGTGTAAGCTAACTGTAATTTACGAATTTAGATGGTCAGCTCCATCTGAAAGCGCTGTAAATGAAATGAAAAACATCGCAAAAACCGCAAAAAGAATCGCAAGCAAGAGTGCTTGAGATTCTTTGTACTTTTATATTTTTTATATTTGTACTGTTTTGTATTTAGTCTATCATTTATATTTTGTAAATTTATGATTATTTAAAATACTGGGTGGGGGCGCACCTCATTCGCCTCGGTTGATTATACGAAAACGGAAAGATAAAGAAAGAAAATATTTTATGGGTATATGTAGAGAGGCAATATGCATAATTTAAAATTATTTTCAAATGTACAGGGTGTGTCAGAACTAAGATCCATACCAAAGTTATGTTTTTTCTTCTGGAACACCCGGTATTTTATTTCATTTTTGGATTCTTGGGCATAAAATAAGGTAATTTATTATAAGGGTTTAGTATGTTTAAAAGCTTTGGTTTTTGGGATATTTAAAGATATTTAAATATGTATGCTATAATAAAAAAGTTTGTCAACACCTCGTACACCTTTTCAGAATTAATTTTTGTGTTGACTTTCAAGCGACTAAAAAAATACAGAGTGTTGCATCTGAAATAACGATGTTTTTATGTAAAATAAATATTTAAAATAGACCAGCAATTTTTGATACCCCTGTATATATTTAAGGAAGTAATCAAGTTTTTTAGTAAAGTTTATATCTCTCGCTTGAAAGTTAACACTAGATTTAATTCTGAAAACTAATGTACGAGCTACTGACAAACTTTTTTATTATAGCATGTATATTTAAATATCTTTAAATATCCCAAAAACCAAAGCTTTTAAATATACTAAAACCTTATAATAAATGCCTTATTTTATGCCCAAGAATCCAAAAATTAAATAAAATATCGGGTGTTCCATAAGAGAAAACATAACTTTGGTATGGATCTTAGTTCTCACACACCCTGTACAGTTCAAAATAATTTTAAATTATGCACACTTCCTTCCCATATATACCCAGAAAATATTTTGTTTCTATATTTTTCCGTTTTTGTATAATCAATCGAGGCGAATGAGGTGCGTCACCCTATATATTATGTGAAATAAAACACGTACTGGTTATATATTAATATTTGCTAATTAATTACATTTTTGTTATCGTTATATTTGAACGCCATTTTAATACAAATAAAATAAATACCAAACCGAACCACAAATCAATTTTTATGTTATTTAATTTAAATCGCACAAAATTTCAGATACAAATATTTTGAAATAATAAAAACGCTAGATTTAGTGAAGCCGAAGAATATTCTTATTTTTTAAAGGAATAAATCATAATATAAGAGATTTCAATAAACTAACTCGTCACAAATTGAGATAGAAGAGACACTTTTCCAATAAATGTAAGAACAATTTTTATATACAAATTTTTTACTTGTTTATTTTTGCTTACTCTATATATTTTATTTTAATGTTGCTTTTGTTTGTCAAATAGTAGAGTAGGTAGTTTGGGTTTTTTATTATTATATATTTATTTTAACTAAAATTACTACAAAGACGGAAATATGTACTAATCCTGAGCAAATTCGATATTCTCGATGTATGTAAACGAAATATCATTCTATAATTTGTAATAAATTTATTTTTTATGAAAAATAAAAATTAATAATATATTTTAATCAAACTGTTTTGTATTTATTTAAAATAATATATATTTCAACATAACATTTATTTAGAAGATAAGTATATATAAAAATCATGCATTAAACTACTAAAAATATTATTTAAATAAGTATTTTCTATGTAGAAAGTGCCCCAAGAAAAAATCTATTAAAAAAAATACTTACAAGAGTTTTGCAGCAAGACCAAGACTGCAAGACGAAGACCATAGCCAGCTGAATCTTCTTTTTTGTTTTGCATTTGCTCATCACTTGAAAATAGAGTAACATGGCTGTTCTTTCGCTGTGCCTTTTATACCGGGTGCGTCTCAAAAGTGGCTCACCCCTATAATTTTTTTTTTCAGAAAAAAAAACGAGATTTGGTATGTTAGTATAAGACATAAATTAGAATTGATTAAAGTATTCAATTGTTTTTGGTCACCTCCTGTTTCACCGAAAATTACTACAATTTTTGATTTTTAAATGGCACTCTCGGTATATTTCAACTATATTCGATAGAAAATGACACTTCGCATATGGTTTATTTGAAATTGTAACATGCGGTTCATAATGAAAATTTAATCAATCCATCAATAAAGGGATGAATTCTAAGTAAAAAATGTTCTATAAAATTTTTTCAGAAAATTAATATTTTCCGAGTTATTTAGGATTGAAATGTTGATTTTTCATCTAAAAACTGCATATCTTTCTGCCATTTTTATAAATAACTCGAAAAACTTGCGTTTTATCGCAAAACTCATTAAAAGCAAAAAGAAAGCTTTAACGAATAACGATTCATTTTTTGTTGATTATCGTAATGTACCGGTGTAATAATAGCCGAGTTATCATTCTATAAAGGTGATTTTCTATTTTTCGAAAACTAAAAAGAACACATTTTTCAAAGAAAATGAATATGTCCGTTTTTAAAGTGCTTGAAAAGACTTTTAAAAAGGCATTTAAAAGGTCTTTTCAAGTTCGTAGCTCAAAAACTCGCTAGTTATAATTAATATAAAATGGTCACCTCATCTTTTCGGAAAAAATTAACAACAAAATCTATACAACAAAAATTTTGTTATTTTCAACCTTTTTCCAAATTTAGGCATTCTAAACCACTCGAACTTGCAGAGCCCATTGTTAGTACCTAAATATAGCGAACTATACATGTATTAAGCTTAGTTTTTATTTCTATGATTTTAGTCATAGATTTTGTTGTTTATATTTTAAAGGTGAGGTAAAATAAGGTGACCATTTTATTTTTATCATAATTCCTCGAGTTTTTGAGCCATGATTTTTTTTAAAACATGTAAAAGGTCTTTTCAAGCATTTTAAAAACAGTTATATTTATTTCTTCGAAAAATCTGTTCTTTCGCCATTATTTTACGGTAAAAATTACAATTTAGTTTTCGAAAAATAAAAAATCACTTTTACAGAGTGATAACTCAGCTATTATTATACCTACGGTAATCAACAAAAATAAATCGTTTAGTTATTCCAAAAGCTTTATTTTCGCTTTATATGAGTTTTGCGATAAAACGCAAGGTTTTCGAGTTATTTATAAGAAATGACAGAAAAATATGCAGTTATTAGATGAAAAATCATTTTCGATCCTAAATAACTACGAAAATATTAATTTTCTGATTAAATATTTTTTGCTCAGAATTTATCGCTTTATTGATTTTTGCAATTAAAATGGGTGATTTATTTTCCACCCCCGAGAAGGAGTGGCACTCACCCCCGGGTGAAAACACACATCGCTACTATGTAACTTTTGTTTCTTACATATCTGTCTCTATTCACTGTTAAAATTTTACGTCAATCGGTGCGGGTGTCAAGAATTCGGACCCTAAAACCCTCGCTTGAGAAAATTAAAAAAATAACATAAAAATATGCTTGAATTTTTTCAAAGCTTCATTCAGAACCTCGCTATTAGTGGAATAAATTAGTGGTTAATAAATTATTGTCTAAAAAACACACTTAAAATAATAAAATATCCTAGCTACAGCTTGCCTTGCGGTAATCAGTTGTATCCATAGAGAAAGCCTAATGTTTAGCTTATAAAACAATAAACTTTTGATTTCTAACCACATTTTCTCATAACGGATGATAAATCAAAGTCCAAAATGACATTCCTCGCAAATTTTGAAGTATAATTAGTGGAAAAGTTTGGTAACTTTTTCTACTAATTGAAAATTCTGTGGTGCAATCAAATGAAATGCTTATTCAATAAACTATGCTATTAACAATAATTAGTATTAAGGTAACCTAGTTTTAATATTTGACAACCATAGCAATAATCCATTGAACATTATGAGTTTATATTATACTTAATTATTACGATAACACATATTGAAATTTAATTTAGGGTTGATAATAATTTCTATTTTAGAGTACTTAAATGATAATAAGTTTTATTGGTTGAATTACATTTTCTAGAAACTGGCCAGTCTCAATTTATTTGAATGAAATTCATTGCCCTGAATTTCATTCATTTGAAAAGGGGAAGATGTGGTGCAACCAAATCAAATACTTATTCAGTAAACTATGCTATTAAAAATAATTAGTATTAAGGTAACCTAGTTTTAATATTTGACAACCATAGCAATAATCCATCGAACATTATGAGTTTATATTATACGAAGGTAGAATAAATTAGTATGGCAACAATCGAGTAATCATTTATATAACCCTATACATATTTTTACAATTCCAACCACTAATTTTGACGTTCTCAATGCTTACATTCAAATTAGAGGAACAAACGTCTACGCTAATTGAAACCAAAAGTTTATTTACTAATTGCGAGGTTCTGAATGAAACTTAAGTCCTAAAAATCCAAAGCCGTTTTCTATGGTAATAGCATTTCGATTTCAGTCTTTGATAGATGGTTAAAATTAATTTTGATTAACGCCATATTTTTTGCTGTTGTTAAAGTATCACATTTCCCGATACCTATTATCACCCTTTCCGTAGCATTAAACTAAATAAATTTTGTGCTTCTTTAAATTTAAAATGTTAAAGTAGACAAAATTTATTTTGTTTAATGCTAGCTAGAGCAAAAAATATGACGCTAATTAAAATTCTATCAATAAGAATCTATCAAACTATGAAAACGAAATTATATTACCATAGAAACGAAAAACCATTTTACCGAAAAGATTCTCATTTTTAGGACTTCAGCTATATATAAAAGTAGTATAAACGGGATTAATCATTTTAGAACAAGCAAAAATTTTTATGAAGAATACATTTTTCTCAAAAGGTCAGTAATAAAAAAGGTATTCCTCTTGAAAACACAATCCGGGGACATACTGTATAGATTTCGTTAAAACTAACAGCTAGCCTTTCCATAATTTTACCCAAGATGTAGCTTATGCATATAGTTATTTTTAATTCTAATTTAGAGTTACACCAAGCCTTTAAGCTACAATTCTTATATACTGTTTACCCGTGGCCTTGTATATATATTTTTAAAGTAGATCAACCTAAGACGTTTATGGACTAAGACTAGTAGATGGCAGGACCGGTTTCCCTACAGAAAAATATTTTTTATTACTCTGAATTTTGAAGCTACTAATAAAAACAGAGAAAATAAAAATCGATAATTTTCGGATTGTGCCAATTGGTTACTAATC